CAGCCTAATATACCTCATTCTTAACTGAAAAGGAAAATTAAACTGCCAGTATTAGACTATCCCCTATTTCTTAATATGAAGACAAGATGCAGTCATTACCACAATACACAAACATCTGAATATTGTTTCACTGCTTAGTAATCAAACACATATAACAATGTCACAACCTAGTTAAAAGGTTCTACAATCCGATTTCAATAAAATACAATGCACACAGTAGTTCATTTCCCACTATGTCTAATGATATAAACATATCTCCAATGCTGTACTTTTCGCACAGATTTTTTTAATGTATGTACTTCAGACTATAAACCCAGTTATTCTGTTCAGATCTTTTTCTCTATAATCTGTGTAAAATCAATATTACAGGATTGCTTCACAAAGAAAGTATGGACTAGACGCCAACCAGAAATACAAATACCTCTTTTTAAAATTAGTATTTGAACTTTGAACTCCCAGGCTGAAAAATAGCTTTGCCCAAGCTATTGCACTGCACACGTTACTTGTTAATATTGTGTGTCCCCCCAAAAAAATATTTTACTTTCTTTGAAGTGAAAAGACCTGTTGGTTCTGTCCCTCAGTTCAGAACTGACTTTTTCTAAGCTTTAATCCATGCTTATAAAGAAATCAGCTATTTAAGAAGTCAGGAACATGCTCAGTGACATTCTTTCACAGATCAGATTTTTAGTTTAATCTGCAATGAATCTTGAATATAAGGCTTCTAGTGTTCTATTTTTACCAAGTTCATCCTTCTGATACAAAATATACTTTCACACTTTTAGAGATTAAAGTTCCCATGTTTGTATTAGCAGAAGTGTTTAGCGTAAAGCTAGTTTTAAAAACACCAAGCTGTGAATCTATCACATTTAGACTCTTTATATCATTAAAAAATAAAAAGATAGCAAACATACACTGTATTATTCCAATAGCCGAGAAAGAAAAATAAAATCATTTTTACTCTTATTAAAATACATACAAAAGTATTTCTACATCAACCTTCTCAAGAAAACATACAAAGCCTTAATTTATGCTTCTGAATATACATATGAATGGTTCATTTCTCATTTAAGTCAATAGCGCAATTCACATGCTTGCTGGTTTTGGCTGGGATAGAGGTAGTTTTCTTCATAGTACCTAGTATGGGACTATGTTTTGGATTTGGGCTGAAAACATTGCTGGTAACACAGGGATGTTTTAGCTATGTCTGAGCAGTGCTTACACAGGGTCAAGGCCTTTCTGCTCCTCACCCTGTCCCACCAGCGAGTAGGCTGAGGGTGCACAAGAAGCTGGGAGGGGGCACGGCTGGGACAGCTGACCCCAACTGCCCAGAGGGATATCCCAGACCGTATGGTGTCACGCTTACAATATAAAGCTGGGGGAAGAAGACGGAAGGTGGGAGGGATGTTTGGAGGGATGGCATTTGTCTTCCCAAGTAACCGTTACACATGACAGAGCCCTGCTTTCCTGGAGATGGCTGAACATCTGCCCGTTGATGGGAACTAGTGAACTAATTCCTTACTCTGCTTTGCTTGTGCGCACAGATTTTTCTTTACCTATTAAACTGTCTTGAACTCAACCCACAAGTGTTCTCACTTGTACTCATTTGATTCTCTCCCCGATCCTGCCATGGGGGGACTGAGTGAGCAGCTGTGTGGTGCTTAGTTGCCAGCTGGGGTTAAACCATGACAACGTGCACAAAATTTTTCATTAGTTTCCTTATACAAGGAAAAAAATGTTATATAATTATCACTCCATATGCCCATTCTAGGGGAAAACTGACACCCATCTAATCACTTCTCAAATACATTTAAGCAGAATCACATTTTCTACAGTAAAATGCAAACTCTAGACCAAATTTTTCCTGGCTTTAGCAGATGCATTGGCAAGTTCATTCCCTCAGTGGCTTTTATTATCTGCTGCTTAAGTCCAAAGAAAGGTTATCTAAAACCTGTCTCCCCCAAAACTTAGTAGATGGACCAATTCAGGAAGCTATTGGCAACCAGACCACAGGCTGAAGTCATAGCGCACAGCATAAAGAAAAGAAAGTCATACTTTCTTTTGCTTTCCCATTTGTTCTTCACTTGTACAGTTTCTGCACAGATTTCTTATGACTATTTCATTTCCCAGGAATTTCTCTGCCTCATCATCCATTAATCACTTTTCCTTCTACCCCTCTTATTCAGTACAAAGCAAATCTCGAGGAGGAAACTCTTCACTGTTAAAACTTTTAACCAAACTTCAAAGAAAAACAAATTAAACAGCCATGAACAACTTATTGCTTTTGGGGTACTTCAGCTAGATAGGTTCCTCCATCAAAGAGCTTTACCAGCAGAAGACAAGAGAGATTTTAATCCAGTATCCTCACATAGTTTTGTTTAGACCATCCTTCTACTCACAGTACTTCTTATCAAACTCAAATGATTTTTCCATTCAGGGCTAAGCTGTGTCAGTAAAAGTTGAATTTGGCTCTAACAAGCATAAAAAGAGAAGCACAACACATCAGCTTGACTATGCTATGCCTCCTGCATTCATTATTCTTTACTAAAATAGCCAAAGACAGACAACTGAAAGAGACAAGATGGAACATGATGTTGAAAAGTTTGTGCTAAAATAGTTGCAGCCCAAAATAATTGTATTTACTCCTGATATCAAAATCCATCAAATTTAGACACTGCAGGTGCCTGTTACTGATTCACAGCAAATGCCTGCTTTCCTAAACTACTACCCATGCTTCAGCACCATAACATGTAACACAGGTAGCGGCAGCATATTAAACCTCCTAAAGACAAACCAGTCTGGGCAGCAATTTTTTTTTTTTTAAAAAAGGGACAGCACATTAAGATTGAAAGGTTATCTCCGACTTTCACTACTTCTCTCAGCAAAAAGAGCGCCATGGTGCTAGGATTTCCAGAGATTTACACGCCAGCCTCCTTCAAAAACCCTTCGGATCAATTCAGTAACATATGCGTGAAATAACTGATCTGATACAAGCACTTCTCTCTGGATAGCATCTGCTGTCTCTCAAGGCAATGTGCAATCTGATGGGCAATATTAACTTAGAATATGCAAAAGAGATGCCAGGAGTTTACCAAAGACATTCTTGTCTTTAGAACTTACCTCCACCAAGTTACAGCAGGACTCAGAATGGGTATGCTGACAAAATGCAAATAAAAAAAGCTCACTTTTGAAAACTAAGTATACATATGGAGCATGTTACTATGTAATATCTTTTTTATATTTAATTAAAAAAAGTTATAATGTCAGAAGCAATTCTGTAAGACAGTCTTCTGCAACAATATCTCTGATAAAGGGACCTAAACATAATGCAAATGTGCTGCATTACTACTGCCTTTCAAAAACATAACAGTGACCAAGAACTTGACTCAATAAAACTACCCCAGCAACGCAAACAACTGTTCTGTCTAGGTAAATGGAGGGGACGCAGAACTATATTTTAGGCATTGGTTTCATACAGCTTAAACATCCGTTTAATTCAACGACTCAAGTGATTTGAATGGTACTTAGTCTTCAATAAACACTAATTTTCAGGTATCCTTGTATATAAAGATCATGTAAATACTTCTATTGGACTTCAACAGCAAATAAAACCACCAGTATACTCAAAAGGTTCTCAAAACCGTATTACTTAACCTTTTAGGAGTCTACATGAGACAGCTATATTTAAAGACCTGGACCCATAAGGACTATTCTGCAAGCACACACTACACTTCACTGGAACATATACCACTGAATGGTAAGAACTCAAAACAGTTCGAACTGGAAGAAGAATTCTCATCCTCCTCTGCCTTATTTAATTTATATTCTTGATGTTTCCCCCTCTGACTGCATTAATTTTCAGAGTTACAGGGTGCTCATTTTTTTTTTTTCATTTTGTGTTAATGACTTCAGTCACCAACACACAGAACAATTTAGGAGTATCATGAAGCAATTTTTTTTGCTAGAGGGAACAAAGTGACGATACGTGTTCTGAAACATGTCGAAGGTACGTGAGTAAGAAAGGTGTGGTCTGCTTCAGCTAGTTACAACATTTAGACTTTCAGAGCCAAGGCAGCTGCAATGCTAGTGGCACAACCAGCATTCCTACTTTTTGAAAAGCGCTTAGCTCTGCCAGGCTGTAATGTGGTGTATAGAGCTGCCATCCTGTTTAATGTTTGACTCCAACTACTCTCAGGTGTCCACATCTAGAAATATTTAATAATCCACAGCTTAGTTTTACTTCAAATAATATCTGAATAACAAATCTCCAGTAATTAAACTATACAAGAAACATAAAGGACAGAAATGTAATTACTGTAAAAAATGGCACTAAAAATATCACACAGTTACACTGAAAACCATTAGGTATTTTATACAGACACATAATGGGTCTCCAGAGGAAATGTTCACCCACTTGAGCACACAGTCTATAAGCAAGCATTTTATTTTCTTAAGGGCTGCTGCTGCCATGATTCCACAAAAGTATCTACTATAAACTAACAGAAAGAATAAAATCACTTTGAAATTCTACATAAAATTTCAACCTGTTTATGCCTTTTAGAAGAGCAACCCATATCCAATACAGCTAAGCACTGAGCACCACTACAGTTAAGAGAGTTGAGGATATCCACCACTTCACAGATCAGAACCTAAGCTTCATAAGCAACTGTCTGCTTTTCGTCACTTAGCTATTTCTTTTAAAACTGCAGAGTACAGTAAGGTGGGTCACATTAACAGAAAGCCCAGAGGCATTTTGTTGTTCAGATAGAACTGAAGCACTGCTTAAAAAAAAAACAAGGGAAAAAAGTGGAGTACAATCAGCTGACTTTTATCTTTGAAATCACAAACAGAGCAATAGTTTTAGACCTTCATGACCAGCAATACAGAAAGTTCTCAATGTTGCGTGCATTACAATAGTATTCATAATGCAACTTGATAAGGTGGCTTACAGCTTTCTCACTCTTTTCATTAATGTTTAACTATTAAAAAGTCACAACACAAACCTGGGTCCACGTGTCTAGAGTTTCTTCTAATTCCATTCGTTCGTTTCTGCATAGCAAAAATACAAATCAAAGATATGAATAAACATGTTTTCATGTACGCACATTGCACTCCTTTCATTCCCACAATCTACTAGGCAAAGCTGGTTTTCTTAAGTTATTTCACCCAACCACCACCATAATTATCTTTATCTCGTAGAAAGATCATACTTTGAAAAATATTCTTAGTAGACAGTTTTTTCATGTATCCCATTTTTTCTGACATTAAGCTCAAAAGATTCTTAGTCCATAGAAGGTTTGTTCATACATCTGCATCTTTTGATACCAAGAACAAATTTATTTTTTAATCATTTATGAATAGGACAGTAGAAAAATATGCAGTTTAGCATTATCTGCCCCAGATAATGTCCACAAACACAAAAGTATCAAAGATGCCTGTGTTGCTTTAATAAGGTAGAAACTTTCACACTTCCTACTTTGTGCTTAAGGTAGTTAAAGTTTCCTATATAATTCTTAATATTTTTACTTTTTGGGCAAGTACTTTAATATATTTAGTAACTCACCTCCACCCCTTCTTTTAAATTTGTATGAACCAGAGCTGTGTGAAATCAGAAGCTCTCTGACAATACTGAGACTTTTTTTTTTATTTTATTTTTTTAAATGTATTTTATAATCCAAGACACTTAACATGGATCCTTGAAAATTCCAATGTGAAGTAACACGTATCCATGAACTACCAATGTGCTTTTGCAAACTTGTTCTAACTGGTAACTTGCATGAAGGTTCATGCATTTATTTATTTTTTAATCAAACCAAGCAGAGAAAAGCATGTTGCATAACAAAGGGAACAATTAGGTTGCTCCGATTTACTTGCAGTTGATATAAGCTGATGCAGGACACACACCGAGGCAAGCCAGAAAGCAGTAACCTGAGGCACAACCAATTTACTAAGCCCTGTAGCAAGCTGGCAAAATGAAAAGCTTGGTTAAAAAACAGCTTTCAGACTCTTGAGTCCTTGGACATACTCTCTCTGTACCCCACAACTCTAATTAAAGAAAGGATGCAACTTTTGTTTGATCTGCAGTGGAAAGAAGAAAAATTTAAAACTGATGCTGCAATGAAGGTAATATTACTGAATAAAAACAAAGGCTCAATTATATCCTTGTTGTTTGTTTGGGTTTTTTTAATGGAGGCTGTACTGCTGATAAGGATTGATGCCGAGCAGTGAGTAACTGCAAATTGGCACAAGAGAGGGAAAGGGGCAGGAGTGGGAAAAGCAAGCATGAGGGAAGATACAGAAATGTTTAACTGAAATGAAAAAAAAAAAATCAAAACAATAATTCTGTGACAACGTAAGTTATATACACAAAAGGACTGGATGGAAAACAATTTTAATGAAATAATTCTTGAGCTATATGTATGAAAACATGCTCAGTACCCTTAAATATATTGTAGTACCAGTAGATTTTATTAAATTAAATTAAATATTAATTTAAATTCCATCACTGGTATGGAATTTAAACCCACGTTTTCTAAAATGACAGATCCTCATCTGTGCTCAAGTTTCTGCGCAGAGAGAATTAAAGCAGGCACTTAAACAAGAGTCTTGTTAAAAATGAAAGCAATCCTGATGTTTTGGATCAACTCAACAGTCAATAGAAAATCAATAGCTCCAGAAAGGAAGCCATTTTTTCCTCACAAAAAAAGATTTAAAATCAAGCCGGGGGGGAGAAGCTGAGGAGCAGGAGGCATTAGGTACAGCCAGTATACATATTTTCTTCATGCAGCCACAGTATGTTCACCACGGTTAGCTTCATTAAGTCTGGCAACCTCATCCGCAAGGCCCAGTAAGCGATTCACTTATGGCTAAAAAAACCTTAGGCCCCCCCAGGAGGGCCTGCCACCTGCCATACTGGGAGAGCGCTAGGCAAACGGACCATGCTGTAGCTCCCGTATTTTAGAGCGCCCTTACTTTGCGGGTGTTTCCAGGCAGAGACGTTAAGGGCCAGGCAGCACATGGCAGGAGGCACGG